ATTGTTTCTCAACCTCGGTTCGAAACTCCTTGAATCTCTCCAAAGCTTCAAATTTGTGAGAAATAAGGTATATATATCCAAATCTAGAGTAATCATCAGTGAAGGTGATGAAGTACTCATATCCTTCCCTAGCCCGAGTACTAATGGGTCTACAATATCGGAATGTACTAATTCCAGAACTTCTTTCTCTTAATCTCTTAGCCTTAAAGGGTCTCTTGGTCATCTTTCCTTCTATACAAGATTCACAAGTTGGTATGGATTTGACCTCTAACTCATTTAAAGGACCATCCTTTACCAATCTTTGAATCCTATTTAGATTGATATGATATAATCTAAGATGCCGTAAGAGAGTTTCATTAGTACTAGAAGACCTCTTTCTTTTCCTAACAGTAGTAGTTTTATGTATAGAACCAATCACAGAACTTAAGATATAGAGACTATTAACCATATGACCCGAACTTATAATAGAATTGTTCAACTTAATAACCAACATGGAATAGGTAAAAACTACCGAATGGCCAACACTACAAAAAAAGTACAATGAATACCAAGTTTTGTGTAAATTCGGGAACATAATAACAGTCATCCAAGATCAAATGTATACGATTTTCAAAACATAAAGTAAAAGGTCCAACAACTTTAGCAGACATTATTGCTACTGTGCCAACTATAAGAGTGTACTTCCCTTCACTGATGTGCTTGGTTTCCTGGAACCCTTACAAAGAATTGCAAACATGATTAGTGGCTCCAGAATTTACGATCCAGGTATTAGTATAATCAACAACTAAGCATAACTCAATGTATAGGGCACTGCCTTCACCTTACTTCGCTTTAGCTAGGTGATCTGGGCAATTCCTCTTCCAATGACCCTTTTGTCCACAAGAAAATCACTTTTCCTTTGGTTTCTAATCGGCATTAGTGTTCTTCCCTTTTGACTTGCCATCTAGCTTTTTGTTTGGCATCTTCCTCTTCTCTCCTCCTTTGCCACCAGAAGGCTTAGGATATGTGGGTCCGACTGTTACAGTCAAAGCATTTCAACTTTTGGCCTTCGGAACAGTTTCAACATTTTGTAGTTCTTTCAAAAATTCCGTAAGAGACATGTCCATCTTATGTAGATTAAAATCAACTATAACCTATAATAACATCTCATGAAGAGTCTCAATACCCATATCAATATGCATTTCGAAATCAATGTCAGCTCCTAAAACCACCACAACATTAAAGTGACCAATCATGGTTAACATATGGTCCCTCACAGATGTGCCCAATTTCATGAGCGTGTTTATTATGACCCTAATGGAAGTTTGCCTAACTTGTTGATTTTGATGTCCAAACATCTCTTAAAGACTTTCTATTATGTTAAAAGCAGTTTCCATGTTCTGATATTATTGTTGCAATACATTTGACATGGATGCCAAAATGTAGCAACAGAACATCTCATTTGAATGACACCACTTTTCATATGTATCATTTTGATATTCCATGGAATCATCTTTAGAGGTTTCGTGACAATCTTCAATCATCACAAATTTGTGTTTTTCAATAGTAAGAACAATTTTAAGATTCATTTTCCAGTCAACGTAGTTTTCTCCCACAAGTTAATTTTTGTTAAGTATCACTGATAATGGATTAAGTTCATTTTTCTTTTTTTTGTAAAATTAACGATTCGTGTATTAATAAAATGAACAATAATATTTGTATGATACATGTATATGAGTATGCAGATATAGACCAAAAACTATATTTTCAACCAAAGACCTTAAACCCTTTCAACTTTTAACACGCCCTCTATAGGATGTCAACGTAATTGTCGGTATAATGTAATTGTCGGTAAAGTTGGGAACATCCCACTTAATTTATTGAGTTAGGCATCTTATGACATAATAAAAATGAAGATTGATTATTATTTTGTTTATGAATAATTTTGCTGAAACATTCTATAGGAAGTCGTCCAAAAAAAATTCATATACAAGTGCAAGAACCTCCGTCAATAATTTTTTAAATTATCAGAAATATATAAGATGTTATCTATAAGAAAATCATCCCATTATTCCATTTTAAAAATATTCTATTATGAGATCCAATTTTCAGTTAATCTAAAATAACATAGTCTTCCTATAAGGAGACCGATGTTATTCGATACTACACATACGTATTTTAATAACAAATTGGATGACGGAGAAAACCGTAGGTTTATACATGCCTATAAACCATTTCCACTTATTATTTTGAACCATTAGGTTTTCACTTAATAATTAACCTGCCAAATATAAACAATTATAATGACACTAGATTATTAAATAAAATATTTCTCAACCACCTCTAATTAATTTAGAGTGATGAAAAAATATTCAATAAGAAATGCATATGATTTTAGTGCACGGGGTGATATTTCATTTAATCTACATGACGTGATAATTAAGCATTCATTCATCATCATAAAGCGATAATTAAATGAATTATAATTACTTATGGCCCATCCTAAGAATTTTAATGACAACATGGATAAAAACATAACATTGGGCCACATTCCGACCCAATTCTTCAATCTCCTTGTAGTCCATCCCATACAATGTTCAAAATTGGGTCAATTTAATTTTTACTCTAAATCCTTAAATGCAAAAAAAAAAAAAAAAAAAAAAAAAAAACCTACTACAAAAATATTTCTAAAAAAAAAAAAAAAAACCTCATTCAACAAGATTGGTCCAAGTTTCAAAGGGAAGCCTAAAAACACAAAATTAACCTAATTTCCAAACCCTAGTAAAAACCCTGTATCAAACTTCAACATTCCTTCTCCGCACCAGCGATGGCGACCCCAAAAGAGGTCACCATTACCATCGCCGTCGGGTAGCGACCACAGCAACCGTGGCTAGCTACCTGTGAGAGACATTAGCCATAGTTGCTGCATTGCTGGCTGCTGCTGCCATAGATGTTGCATTTGGCAATAGGGCCTTTTGTTGCGTTTGGCTACAGCGACGGTGTTTAACACCTCCCTTATGGTTTTTACAGGTTTTGTATCTTTGTTTCCTTCCATTTCTCCAACAATAGCCAGCAACAAATCCATCTCTTCTTCTTAATACATAAGTGAAAAAATGAAAAAATATACAAAAGAAAAATCTAGTGCCTTATGACTTACAATTTTTCTAGAAAAAGAATAACAACAAATGAATTACAATGGAAGCAAAATAAAATTCTAGGTCCAAAGGTGATTATATATATAAACAACTACTTTAAAGCAATAACCATGTCAACTCAAATAACCTAACACCACCCATACTAAAAATGCATTTTATACTAGGATTTGAAGAACATAATCCTATTCAAAGCTCTCAATAACCTTGGCTAGGATACCATATGTTGATTATTGGATTCAATCATCACAATATGAAATTAATTATCCTTTGAAGATTAAACCCATTTGAATAAGAATATTAGATCACCTGGAGATCATTAGATGTTTTAAATCGTCACACATAAAGGGAAGATGATAACCTTGAAGGAGCTTTTAATGGTCTAACCAAATGTTTCCTCACTTAGATCTACTACCTTTTTCTCCTTTAGGTGCCTCTCTCTTTTTGAAAAATAAAATGTGCTAACCCTAAAAGCATATGAAAATATGCCCATAAAGGGCATATTTATAATACTCAATTAGAGTTTGTAAGTTGTACAAATTTTCTTGGACTTTATTGTAGTGAACCAATTAAGTCATACATTTTTATTGGAGCCAGGAGATGGACCTAACCGAACTCACATGACTCAATCTCCAATAAATATTTCTAATTGCGTCAACTCTTGACCAATTGAGATACATATATTAAACTCGGCTCATTCTATCCAAAATCGATATTGCACTCTTGAGTCGAGTGATAGTTATAGAAGGAAATTATGATCCAATAACAATTTCCTCCGATTATTGTTTCACAAATCAACCCCGATTTGACTGTCAATAGTTGAAATTGTCAAAATGACTATTTTGCCCTCAAACATGCATTACACTCTAAGTTCCTTTTCCATAAGGCGAATTCGTTGCGAATCACACTATGAAGTCCAACGATCAAATCATCAGACTACTGAGCTTAGGTTCAATTTGCCTATAAAAAATACCTTAGAGTGACAATCGTTTCATCTGAACAATTGATGGATTCCACTATCACAAGTATATGATCTCTAATTGTTTTGGCCTGATTCTCAAAGCACCAAAATCAATCTTTTAATTAAGACTTCACTTATTGGCATCTCAAAGAACTTGAACTAACAATCAAAGGTACATTACTCGTTCAAAATTTAAGTGACTTGTTTTTTAATTAAGTAGTCTCATTTCGAACGATCATAAATGAGTCATCTACACGGTTTCGTTCAATGTGCATCAAACACATTATTATTTTTATTCCAAAATTTAGACAAATCTTAATAAAAACAATGCAATCTTATCAACATAAAATATCCAACTTTATGTACTGATTGTGAATAACATATTTTTAACCACATCACGAATTGTTCCTTACTATTCCCGAACTATTGAATATACAATTTGTGACATCCTATATGATCATTGAACCTTAGATAATCGTTTCAAATTGTAACAAACGAATAATCGAACGTCAATTCATAATGTCATTTTATAAAATACTAATTAAAAAAAGGGCATCAAACTAACAGGGCTCTAGATGGCCAAGGGCACTACAGGTGGGGGGCTTATCAGAATGGCCCCCACCTATGGAAGCGCCATTTGGTGCCCTGGACGTATAGCACCTCTCAATACTTGGAATATTTCCATGGGGCCCTGGACGTAGAGCACCTCTCAATACTTGGGATATTAACCAATAATTACTCCTGTTATCTCCGTTTTACATAAAAACTTCAAAAGGCTGTTATTTTCTTCTGAGGGAGAAAGTCGAGTTGGCGCGAACTTACCCTCAAACTGAGATCCAAAAGAAAAAATATACAGTACAGAAATCGAACAAATAGGTAGAAGAGCATATGTGCAAGTTTCTCCGAAATAAAATAAAATAAAATATTGGCACACATCATTAGAGAAATAAAATAATTTCCAAAAGCCACTTGAATAATGTAGCATTTCATTACTTTTACAAACTTCAACTTCCCACACAGCAAAAGACAGTCCCCACCAACCCACCCAAAAAAGGAAGCATCATATGAAGATAAGAAATAATAAGCTTCCATCCATAAGTGCCTCCATCGATTTTGCTCTTGTCATCAAAAGCTCTTGAAAAAGAAAGCTAGGAGCCAAAAAGATGACAACAGCAAAATTGTGCATCCGACTTCGATTGCATTGCCACATATGCGAAAGGAGATACAAAATGTAAAGATCCAGTATAATACGCAACATGAAAGAGATTAAAGACCATGGGGAGTCCTTATGAGGGACCAGAGGGTTCAGATTTGATGGTTGTAGGGATATCTGATTGGGTTGTAGGATAGACGAGCGCTGCAAGTGAAATAGGCATGATGCAGAGTGATTTGGATTGGAGAAATTGCATGGCAGCTCCCACGTCTTCTTCCATGAGTTTAACTACCTCCCTTTCTGTTTCCACATTTGACCACTTTTCCCAAACCTGATGGTTCAAACCTCTTTCCACTGTTTCATCCTAATATTTGAAAACCAAATCGAGTTAGAGGAATGAAGATTGTGAACTTATATGCATACGTGTGCATGTTTAAAATTACTCTACGGCAAGGTTGTATTAAAATTAGTAAAAGATATATCTTTACAATACCTCAATAGATTGCAGGGGGATGTCTGCAACAAGTTGTGCGACTGCACCAGCTCCTCCTAGCCTACTCATGCTCAATACCTGTTCAACCTTTTAATGTCATTGAAAGAAAGAAAGAAGAAAAATATTTGGTTTTTTAGCTTGTAGCTTTCACAGATATTTTCATAATTGGACTTTTAAGTGCCCAATTGATGATCCCAAGACATGAAGACATTAGTGGATTATGTGGACTCTGTAGTCTAGCACTACAGAAAATTCCCTATACGAACCTTTTGGAACCTTAAACAATTTGAACAAAGACAACGAAAGAGGGCTGTTTGCGAGTTATTTTTTGTCATAAAGAGTTTGGAAAACAAACCTTTAAAGAGATCTAGCCTAGAAGGGAATTTCATAAGAACAGAAACAGGCAGCCTCTCAAGGATATTATGCCGAGAATTTTGATTATAATAGGCTGGTATTGCTTTTACCTTGACTTGAAGCCTCAAGAATTTCACATAATCCAGAATCTCGTCAAGCATTGCAGCCCTATCAGTCTGCCACAAAAAACAAAAAAAGAATCAATAATTAATAATAAAAGCAGTACACGCAACTTAATTCAAGCCAATTGCCTCTTCACATTAGTGATTATCAACGATTAGCTACTTCAAAGGCTGAAGAAAATTCAGAATCATGATTGTCATCAAACAGTTTATATCAAACAGACCCACTCCAGTTCTGGAAAGCATAGGTATAAACTCCACATAACATTATGTTCCAACTGATAATTCCGGCCAATATATTAGAATCAAGCAAAATATCCAATACATGTGGGGACATTGTATTTCATGACAGAAGTGAAAATATACCGGGTATATGACTCTGCGTACCAAAATATAAATCTTTTCTGTGAACTTTCACATGCCATTTTATGATATGGTACGAAAGCAAATAATAGATACAGGGGAAGAAGAAACTTCAGAGAATCAGAAAAGATTCAACAGGGCAAGGTTACACACCTTATTGCAGCTGGGAACAAGTTCTTGCAATGCCTTGATTCTTTCTGATATCCTTTCTCTGCGCAACTGTATTAAGATGCAATCACTTAGTCAAGATGTATATATGGTGAGAAGTTGAGACTTTCACATAGCTTGTACATGTAAATCACATACCCTCTCAGCAATACTATGGGGATCTGTTGCTTGTCCTCTTCGTGCCCGAACCCTTGGCCTAATGGCAGGAGGGTGTGGCACAGTTACTGCAGTGCTTGGTGTTGGCTGACCTTGAAAAGCCTGTAAAACAAATTCAGTATAGTTTAGATGCAAATAATGTGAAATCCTAAATCATAGACTTATATTAGCACTTACCATGGTATAATCAATCTCACAACTAATTCTCTTGCTCGGGAAGCAGCTAGAAGACAACAGATACATTTTCAAAATCAAGAGTTACCCACAACCACATGGATGCTACTAAGTACTGAACAAATACTTTGCCCAACAACTCAATGGCTGCTAGATAAACCATGATTTTTCTTTTCTTTTATAAGGACACTCAAACTGCAAGTAGGAATCTAAAAAAATTTTGTCGATCTAAAAATCATTTCTATCCCAGCAATCTCAAGAATGATTGCTGTGATAAATAACATATAACCCAAGAACTATTCTGTGAGTCTAATTAGCATAGCATGCACATTCATTTGGTCAACAGAAACTATGTTATTCCAATGAAAAATGGTATTCGAATAGCATTCTACAATGTCCACAATTTTGTAATTCTCAGGCCTTTGATTTCCATATAAAGGAAAGATGCACATAAGTCAATTTCTTCTCCAATTGATCGATTCCATCACATCTCACTCGAGAGAAAGGACATTTATAAGACCAGAAAGTAAATTGCTCCTACTCGCACCCCTGACTAAGAATAGGATGCCCAATACCAAGTGACGTGAGTGGAGTTGATTTACTTACATTTGTGTTTCTTAGAAACCAAAACTCTAATAAGTTTCTAACACATGCAAGCACACATAAGCACACCAACAGACTGTCTAGTTGAACAAAAAGATAGAAAGCATAAAGTTTGGTATTGATATAGCAACTCGAAAGGCCAAAATGATTCTCCAATTGTATCCATATCACATCAGATCTTTTTAAATCAATAGTTTCTGTATTGCCAAATGAATTACTTAGCAAGTCATTAAGTCAATATATCATATGTCTCCACACCATATCCTCGTCAAAGAAAACTCGAGTACAAGAAATAACCAATTGAGCACTGCAACTGTCACTTAAAAATTTAGTTTAAACTAGTCTAATTGAACTCCACTTAGCATATAACAATGAATATAACACCAAGTACACTAATTAAATTACTAAGCCAACTTAAACTTGTTTAGACTGCATATCGATCCCACTCACCCCACGCCATGCAAATAAAAAGTGCAGGCATATATGACAGCCACTACAACTACCAAAGGGTGCACAAAATGCACTTACAGATACATATTTAATACATGAAGAGAAAAACAAATGCAAAATTGAATATACATTTGTAATATATGTAACCTGCTGAACTTGAGGAACAGGTTGGCGGATGGCATGAGACTGTAAATGATCAAAAGCATACAAACTCCCCATGTTGTTATTCAACGCTTCCCTCTCCTGCAAATATAGATAACAGATAAATCAAAATTACTCTTTTATAGCAGTCATAAACCACAAATATGAACTCACATATTCACACACCAAAAAATGGTTTTCTAAATAATTCTCTTCTACATATAGAAAATAGAAAACAATTAATTTGCTAGATTATATTCCACGTTTCACTTGATTCACCCTCATACCAAGACAAATTTCCAATTTTTGCCTATTACAAAAAGCTCGACTGCAAAAATTGAAACTCTGTGGAAACCCACGGAGACATTTAGATTTATTTATTTATTTATTTTAGGTGACATTTAGAAAATTCAAAAAATATTACATAATTTTCTTTTACTTAATAATATTCGAAAACCTTGAGGAAACTGTTATGAATTGCACATCATAGCTTTTTGTTTCTAGTTCAATTTCAATAAACTAAATATAAGTTCAGACTCTAATCCTTGTATTACACAAAATTAACAACTAATTAAAGTTTGAATTAATGTTATAGAATTTTAAAAACTATAAATTTAAAACTTTCCTACAGCTTATTGTAGCCTTATCTTTTCAGAAATAGCATTTCCAAAGTCCGTTCAAAGAGCCAAAAGGTAAATTAAGAGCTTACAGGCCTCACAGCCAAGGCTCCGGCGCCACTAACATCATCCTGCCCGTTATCCAGGCTGAGGCCCAAGGGAAACATCGGTGGATGGGGGAGGCCCGCACCGTCTGATGCGTTTCCAGCGTCAGCTCCAGCCAGGCCGGCATAAGAAGGAAGGGAGAGGATTTGCTCAAGGAAGTCGTCGGCTGTATAACCCTCCGGCGGGTTCGTTGCCATGCCGGCGATTTCCCGTCGGCGACAAAAGTTCCCGGCAAGAACAAGAGAGAAATTTAGGGTAGAGAGAGAACAGTGAGCGCTTTTGGGAAACTGGCAATGATAAAAATGCGCATGCTTTTGTCGTTTGCGCTTTTTTTATTTTTGACGAAAAGTGCTGTGATTTTTCGAGTCAGTGGTCCGGGATCAAATTGTAATTGTGATAAATTTTAGGGGTTGAAAATGCTACAAGATAAATATAAGTGGAGCATTATTGTACTGACCTCTAACTTTTTTGTTGCGTTTTCATTTTCAATATTTTATTGATTAGTAAACCTTTTCATTCAACGAGTTCACGAGAGAGCTTATAGGTACTAATTTTTATTAAATAAGAAAAAATGCCACAAAATTTGTTCCCATTTCAAAGTATGATAATAGAACAGTTAGACATAAACTATCGGAATCTTTAACGAAAAATGTGATTTTTCAATATAGGAACAAAATATGCGAAATATTTTTGTCCAACAAAAAGTTTCAAAAATCATTGAAGACAATTTTCTAAGTGATTTTTCAAAAGAACAAAAAGAGGAAGTCGATAAGTTTGCTTATACTTCAATTCTTTAACACTTGTCCAATATTGTTTTGAGGAAAGTGGGTAAGCTGAAAACCACAAAATAACTTTGGACAAAATTAGAAGACTTGTATTTGCTCAAATTTACTCTAAA